ACAGACTCCTCCATGTCTCAGAACAAAGCAGGCCACGGTAAATGCCGTTAGAAAGGGACCCAGCAGGGTGGGAAAAGGACAGGAGGTTCATTTGGACAGAGAAGATTTGGAAAAATCATCTTTGGTACAGGAAGGGCAAGAACGGTGTCTTGAAGAAAGTGGCAGGACCCTCAGAGGCAGCCATGGGGCAAAAAGGAAAGATGTTTCTGGTAGAGGGGTTCTCTGAAAGAAAGGCACACAGGCCAGACAGCAGGGCACGCTGTGGGAAACAGCGTGCTGGTATGGCCAGGGCAAATGAGTGGCTGGGTCAGGAGGTGTGGTACTAGATAAGATAAATGGGATAGGTAGGGCCAGACTCAAAGATCAGGACAAAAGTCATTCCAAATTCTGGCCCATCATGTGACAAAAACTGTTTTTAATTTTCTACTTCCTCTGCCCAGTCATTTTTCTGGCTCTCCCACCCCACCCCTCATTCTGCACAATTGCCCCTTTTGTACCTCTTTAGCCAAGAGTCTTCAGAGACAAGAATATCAAATTCTTGAGATGGAATTCATTGCAGGAATGGCCCTAAGAAAAGCTGCCGTGTGAAGCTTTCATCCATTTCCCCAAGACTAAGAAGTTAATCTCTGTGTTCCCCTAGGAATTTGGACCTGCTTCTGTTATTTACCACAATGCAATTTAAAATTAGGTGTGTGTGAGGCTTGCCAAAGGCTCTAAACAGCTGGAAGGTGGTGATCAGGTCACATTTATTCCACCTGAGGGAATAATCCCCAGTGAGCAGGCCCAATGGGGCTCAGAGGTTCAGGCTTGCCCCACACAGGCTGCGGGAGGGGCTGGCACTAGGGCAGCTGGCTCCTGGACCCACCCAGGGGCTCCGTACAGACTGTCCTCTTCCCGCATCTGCTACTGGAAGCCAAAGTCAGTGACCACAGTAGGAAGGCCACGTGAAGCAAGAAGCCAACTGCAAAGTCGTGGGCTGCTGAACGGGGAATGTGTGATTGCAGTTTAATTCTCCTTGTCTGGGAGCCAAGTTTCTTTAATAAGCACAATTCAAATCTAGGTAACATTAAAAGCTTGGAAACCACCTTTTCCCTTCTCTTGAGTTAGACAAAGGCACATTCACAGATACCAGGGTACAATGCATCAGGACACAGATAATCATCGTGCACAGCATAATACAAACACCTTGGGTTTATGAAACGTATCTTCCCCTAAACTCCTTCCTTTGAGTCTCACAATAGTCCTGTGAGTGGGAGGACAGCACAAACTGGCCCCCTCAGACAGACAGATGCAGGCACCGAGACTCAGAGCTGATGTAAATGCCTCCAAAAGATCTCAGTTATTCTATGACAGAGGACTCCAGGTCTAGAAGCCCATGTTTCCTATCCCAGTATTCTTCTCTGCTCCACCTTGAGAATAATAACTACTATTTATGGTCACTTACTCTGTGATGGGCATTTTCCATTTATTATTTCCTTCAATCTTCAAACACTCTTGGAGGAAACCAAGGTTTAGCCAACAAATACTAAAAGAAGGATTTGTCCTTGAAGCCTGCCTTCTAATCCAGCTGCATTCAGTTACTTCTGTTCCACCCAGTTCCATTCTACTCATTTTTATTGGGCACCTGGTACATACAGGGTGCTACACAGCCAGGCAACATGCTAGCTAGGCTCAGGGTTCCCAGAGCAGGGCAGGACTGGGCAGGTCTGGCTTCCTGGGCCCCAGACCCATGACTGGGGTATGCGTTAATTCCTTAGGGCTCCTGTAACAAATTACCACAAATTTGGTGGCTTACAACAACAGAAATGTATTCTTGGCCAAATGAGATAGTTCCACCTATAATCCTAGCATTCTGGGAGGCCGAAGCAGGAGGATCACTTGAGGTCAGGGGTTTGACACCAACCTGAGCACAAGTAAGACCCCATCTCTACAAAAAATAGAAAAATTAGCCAGCCATGGTGGTGCATGCCTGTAGTCCCAGCTACTTAGGAGGCTGAGGCAGGAGGATCACTTGAGCCCAATCCTCAAGCAATGAAGCTGCAGGGTTTGAGGCTGCAGTGAGGTATGATGACGCCACTGAACACTAGCTTGGGTGACAGAGGCAGACCCTGTCTCAAAAAAAAAAAAAAATATATATATATATATATGTATACACACACACACATACATATTCTCACAGTTCTGGAGGCAGGAAGTCTGAGATCAAGATATCTAAGTCGGGCTCTGGGGGAGAATCCTAAGTACTCCCTCCAGAGGCTCTAGGGAGGCTCCCCTTGCCTCTTCCAGCTTCTGGGGACTCCTGCTATTCCTTGCTTTGGGGCTGCGTCACTCTAATTTCTGTTTCCATCTTCACAATGGCCCCTTCTGCCTCACTCTTAAAAGGATACCTGTGGTTGGATTTACAGCCCACCCTGGAGGTCTTATATCAAGATCCTTAGGTTAATTATATCCACAAAACCCCTTTTCCCAATAAGGTCATATTTGCATGTACCAGCAGTTAGGAGTTACACATATCTTTTCGTGTGACACTCTCCAACCTACTACAAGGAACAGGCAGATTCAGACCTACAGAGTCCCCTCTTCCTCAGTGGTAGCTGCTCTTGCCGCAACCCTAGGGAGGGCCAGGCCTTGCACAAGCAGGCAGTGGGAAAGCAGTATCAGCCCCCTGGGGCCAAGTCTGGGCAACATGCCGTCTAAGAGTGGGAATAGGGCCAGTGTGCTGGTTCCCAAGGGAGCAAGTGAGTAGAACACAGGGCCAGGCAGGGCAGAAATCAGTGGTTCCTGAGATGCAGGAAGGTTGGGAAAGAAAGCTAAACCTGGAGAACTCAGGGCAGTGTTGCCAGGACAGTACTGAAATCACATTCCTGGGCCATTTAAGTATCCCAAGAAGGCGGAAATTGTGTTAATCACCTCTGCTGCAGCCAGGCCACAGTGCCCTGCTGGGGGCTAACCTCGTTTGACTCCTCACATCAGAACTGGGCTTCCTCCTGGTTCCTTATCAGCAGATGCTATAATGGCTCAGGAGCCTGTGGCCGCAGTACCGTTTGCAGAAGGTATGGCCCCCAGTGCCCAGCCAGGACAATGGCCATTCAGGAGAGCCCTGGCTGCCAGGATGGGGACGTGGCAGGCAGAGGTCTGAGATGCCTGGCCACATGCAATCCTGGGCTTCATTTATATTTGACAAGCCCACTGTCTGCTCCCAAAAAGTAGGGAAGGGGCAGAAGACATGGGCAGACGACCATGTCTTCTGCCCCTGCAGAGACCTGCAAATTATAAGAGTGCTAGGAATCAGGGGTTAGGGAAGTAGCAGGAGTCTCTGTGGATTCTGGAAGAGACCATAGGACTATGTGCAGCTAAGGCAGTGGGCTGTGCAGTGGGACTGCCTGGTTTCAAAGCCCAGCTCCTTATCTTGCTTTGCAACCTTGGGATAGTTACTTAACCTCTCTCGACCTCAGCTGTCTTTTCTGTAAACTGAAGACCAAAATAGAACCTACATCATAGAGCTGTTATGAGGATTAAAGTAAACAAGCCAAAGAAAGCACTTAACACAGTACCTGGTATGTAGTAAATACTCAACTAATGCCAGTTATTATAAACCAGCCACACTGGAGGTAAACCTTGGAAGAGAGTGTAATTTTATATGACAACTTGGCCCAGCTATGGTACTCAGTTATTTGGCCAAATACCAGTAGATGCTGCTGTGAAGCACCTTTTAGATGTGATTAATATTTCGATCAGACTTGGAGTAAAGACTCTGAGTAAAGGAGATCGCCCTCCGTGATGTGGGCAGGCTTCATCCTACCAGTTGTGAGTGTGGGCTGTGCTGCAAGAATCAGCAGGCCAGCGAAGCTGCAGTACACAGGGCACAAGAGGAGACATCAGGAAATTAAGCAGAACAGGCAGGTTGTGGTCATGTTGACAGGAGGCTCAGAAGCCAGATGGAAGCCCTTGAAAGATTTGTGAGGCAGAGTGCAAGTGCCTGGAGCTGTCCTTGAGGAAGAGGCGCTGCACAAAGCCAGTTGTGCAGACTGCCCAAGTTGTATCTGCTTCCGAAGTAGAACCAGGATGGTTGCAGAAATGTGCTTTGGATGAAGAAGAAACCTTCCCCTTGATGGGGACAAATGATGTCATGCACCAAAGCAGAAGCAGACTACATCTCTGCCTGACAGCGCTGCAGCTCAAAGTCACGAGGCAGAGACACCTGAGAATGTGGGTAAGGCCTGTAGGAGGAGCAGGTTGGCCCCAGTTCTCATTTGGCATTTGGGTGTGGCCACCTTACACACGGATCTGGAATGTGCTGTGCTGCAAAGTGAATTCCTGGTGCATTTTTGAGGCTCAGGTGATTCTGAAGGGATGGCTGTTATGAGAGCATAGCATCCTGCAGACAAAAGGTTCTGGAAGGTGGGCAGTAGGTGCTGGCTCCATCCAGAAGCCCTGTTCACAGGCCAGTATCAAATGGATGTTATCTCCACCAGAAGCTCTAACAGCTGCCCTTGATAAGTGAGCCAGTGAGATGTTACCTACCAGTTCACATGAGGAGACGGCCATGTGGAGAAAGGGTAGAGTTGTTCAGTTCTAGGGGCTTCATTCTTCTCTACTAACAAGCTTCTGGCTGGGTATGGTGCCTCACACCTGTAATCCTAGCACTTTTAGCACTTTGGAAGGCCAAGATGGGAGGATTACTTGAGGTCAGGAATTTGAGACCAGCTTGAGCAAACGTGAGACCCTGCCTCTATCCAAAATAGAAAACATTAGCCAGATGTGGTGGCTACTTGGGAGGCTGAGGCAAGAAGATCACTTGAACCCCCAGAAGTTTGAGGCTGCAGAGAGCTATGATGACACCACTGCACTCTAGCCTGTGTGACAAACAAAACAAAACAAAACAAAACAAAACAAAACAAAACACCAACCAACCAACAAAAACCAAGCTTCACAGCAGAGAGCAGAAATTACACCTCCTCTATGTAATGGCTGGTTGCTATAATATCATATGTTTGTACCTGTTCTTTCTCCCAATTATATAAATGCCAAGATTGGACAAGAACAAGGCAGAAGTCGCCAACTTAGATGTTTTAGAATGTCAGGGCCACCACTCCATTTCTTGTAGGATGAAAGTCCAGCTATACTGGAAAATCTTCCTGCTCCAAGACATCTAAAAAAAAAAAATTTTATTGTAGTAAAATATACACAACAAAAACATCTATCATTTTAACCATTCTTAAGTGTACAGTTCAGTGGCATTAAGTACAGTAAGTCCTCAATTAACATCCTGGATAGGTTCTTGAAATCTTCAACTTTGAACAAAACAACACATAACAAAACCATTTTACCATAGGCTAATAAGAATTAGCTTTAATGTTAGGTTCCTACAGCATATTTCTGATCACAAAAACATCAATGAACTTATAAATCAAGACCCAAAACACTTCAGGCTAATATCTGCAATTTGAAAAAACAACAACAAAAAAAAGACCCAAAACACTTCTAGCATTAAACATTGAAATAAATGTGAGCTACATATACATTTAAGAAAGATTGGCCGGGCGCGGTGGCTCACGCCTGTAATCCTAGCACTCTGGGAGGCCGAGGCGGGCGGATTGCTCGAGGTCAGGAGTTCAAAACCAGCCTGAGCAAGAGCGAGACCCCATCTCTACTATAAATAGAAAGAAATTAATTGGCCAACTAATATATACAAAAAAAAAAATTAGCCGGGCATGGTGGCGAATGCCTGTAGTCCCAGCTACTTGGGAGGCTGAGGCAGGAGGATTGCTTGAGCCAGGAGTTTGAGGTTGCTGTGAGCTAGGCTGACGCCACGGCACTCACTCTAGCCTGGGCAACAAAGCGAGACTGTCTCAAAAAAAAAAAAAAAAAAGAAAGAAAGAAAGATTAATAAGACAAGTAAGATAATTATTTATCTGCTTATTCCAGTTCAGGGTCGCAGGTGGCCAGAGCCTATCCCAGCAGTTCAGGGCTCAAAGCAGGCACCAACCTGGACAGGATGCCGATCTGTTGCAAGGTGCACTCACACACACCAACAGTCACTCAGACCGGGGCCGTGTAGATGCACCAAGTCACCCAGTGGGCACAGCTTTGGGATGTGGGAAGAAACCAGAGTACCCAGAGAAAATCCACACAAACATGCGGGGAATATGCAAACTCCACACAGAGAGTGGCCCTAGCTGGGAATTGAATTTTTTTTTTTCTCATCAACATTGTAACAAAACAATGTTGAATGAAAAAAATGTTATCAGAGGACTTGCTGTACATTCACATTGTTGTGCAACCATTATCACCACCCAACTCCAGAATTTTCTCCTCTTCCCAAACTGAAACTATATTAAACAATATTCCCAATTTCCTTCCTCCCTCTAGCCCATGGCCACCACTATTTGACTCTGTCTCCATAAATTTGGCCATTCTAGGTATCTCAGAGAAGTGGAATCATGCAGTATCTGTCCTTAAGGTTCACCTATGTTGCAGCACATGTCAGAATTTCATTCCTTTTTAAGGCTGAATAATATTCTACTTTACAGATAGACAACATTTTGTTTATCCATTCACTTGTCGATCGACGTTTGGTTTGTTTTCAACTTTTGACTATTGTGAATAATGCTGCTATGAACATGGATGTACAAATATCTATTTCAAGTCTTTGCTTTTTCCTGATTTTTTTCTAAAAATTTATTCATTTTTTTTCTGAGTATGAAAAGTTATTGATATGAAGTTTTTCATATTCTTATCTTTATAATCTCTACTGCATTTATGGTTATGTCCTCTCCTTAAATCTTCATATTATTTCTTTGTCTCTTCTTTTTTTTTACAGATGGGGTCATGCTCTGTCATCCAAGCTAGAGTGCAGTGATGTGTGCAATCATAGCTCACTGTAGCCTTGAACTCCCGTGTGTAAGTGATCCTCCCACCTCAGCCTCTCCAGCAGCTGTGACTACAGGCATGTGCCACTGTATTCAGATAATTTTTTTAAAAATTTTGTCATAGAAACAGGGTCTTGCTATGTTGCCCAGTCTGGCTTGAATTCCTGGGCTCAAGCAATTCTCCTACCTCAACCTCTCAAAATGTTGGAATGACAGACATGTGCCACTGTGCCAGCCTCTTCTTTTCTCTACATCATGTTGTCAGAGCTTTACCAACTGTATTACTATTTCAAATAGCTAGCCATATTAGTTAGAATTAGGTTCAGCTCTGAGTTAGAGAAAACCTACAAATAACAGGAGCTTAACAACATTTTTCTCACTGTCAAAATGTCCAGAGGTTCAGTCCAGGGCTAGTCTGGTGGTCCATCATGTCAGGGCACCAGGTTCCTTAGATCATGTAGCTCTTTCATTGTCTAAGAAACAAAGTCATGGTCCCAGGTGCAAAGGCCACCCTTTTGTCTAAGATTGCTGCTGGAGCTCCTACCAGAATTTCAGTAGGAAGAGAGGCATGCCCTCTCTCTTTACATCTCCAGAGAATTGCACACATCATGTCTGTTCATATCTCATTAGCCAGAACACAGATGTATGGCCATATCAACTTGCAAAATAGTGGAGGAAATGTTGGTTTGTTGTTTGCACCTCTTTATGCTATGGTTGTCATACATTTCGCTTCTACATATATTATAAACTCCATCATACAATGTTTGAGTTTGCTTTGAACAGTTATCTTTTAAAGAAAAATTTTTAATGAGAAAAAGTCATTTTTATATTTCCCTTTTCCAGAAGTCTTCATTCCTGTGTGAACATCCCAGTTTCCATCTGGTATCATTCTTCTTCTGCCTAAAGAATATTTTAAAATATTTCTTATAGTATATGTCTGCAGGGAACAAATTCTCTAAGTTTTTGTTTATGTGAAAATGGTTTCTTTTGAAGAATATTTTCACTAGCTATAGAATTCTAGATTGATAGTGTTTTTTTTCTTTTAGCTCTTTAAAAATGGTCTTCCAATGTCTTCTGGCTTATATTGTTTCTGATAATAAATCTGTAGTAATTCTAATCTTTGTTCCTCTATATGTCTTTTTTCTTTAAAATGTTTAAAGCTTTTTCTCTTTATCACTGGTTTTCAGCAATTTGGCCTTGATGTGTCTTGGTATGGCTTTTTTTTTTTTTATTTATTCTGCTTGAAGTTTTCTTTGTCTCAGATCTGTGGATTTAGAATTTTCACCAAATTTGGAAAAATTTTAGCCATTATCTCTTCAAATATATTTCTGTCCTGACCCTCCTCCTTTTCAGACTTTAATTATATGCAACTACACATACACACAAACTGCTTGATATTGTCGCACAGATCACAGAGGATCAGTGGTAGGATTTTCTTTTCTTTTTACTTTTGTGCTTTAGTGTGGATAATATCCATTACTATGTTTAAAAATTCACTGATCTGTTCTTCTGTAGTTTCTAATCTGTTATTAATCCCATCTAGTGAAATTTTCACTTCACATATTGAATTTTTCAGCTCTAGAAGGTCCATTTGCTTTTTTACAAAAAATATTTTCCACTTCTCACCTCATATGTGATTTCCTTTAAATCTTTGAGAATATTTACAATAAGCGTTTTAAAGTCCTTGTCTTTTAATCACATCATCCCTGCAATTTCTGAATCTGTCTCTATTGACTGATTTTCCTCCTGATTATGGATTGCATTTTACTGCCTATTCTCCTGTCCAATATTCTTTATTGGATGACAGACATTATGAATTCTGCATTATTGAGTATTAGATTTTGTTGTCTTCTTTCAAAGAGTATTAGACTTTGTTCTAACAGGCAGTTAGGTTACTTCCAGAGTAGGTCACATCTACACTGCTATAAATCAATTACAGATTTTTCTCAAAGGACTCCGGTGGCCCAGGCACCAAGGTCAAAACTCAGATCCACATTCATCATGATACACACAGGTTTTAAGACAATGAACAAGCTGATTTTTTGGGTTTTTGTTTTCTGACCATCTTTAATTCTATTGAGACCAACAGAAAACTCACTTGGATGTAGGTTTTGTTTTGTCTTATTTTGCCATATAATCAGACTGGGTTGTAAAGAAACATCCATTCCTCTGTGATACCTGTGCTCAAGGAGAGGAAGATAACCATTGAGATAAAGGTTGATTGTTCAGTCAAGAAAATTCTCCTTCGGGCAGCAGATACCCATCTGGAAGCAAGGCTCGAAAACACATGCACACAAGGAGTGAGACCAGGTGGTAGAAAAAAGGCAATGCAGACACATCTGTAGGCACAGCTCATCACCCCATGGTGCCAGCCAGATACACCCTCCCTCCCACAACGGAAAGGACAGAAATGCCACCAAAAGCGAGGCCTTTGCAAAACTTCAGCATGTGAAGTCCATCTGTACCTTTTCTTTCCATGTGTTTGTCTCCCTCAATGAACTGATCGCTCCTTGGCCATACCCAGCCAGTGGGATTCAGAAGACAGGACACTGGGCCTGAGACTGAACCCCAGCTCTGAAAGATGTCAACTGGGTGCCTCAGGGAAGTCATAATTTACCTCTCTGGGTCTCCAATTCCTGTTCTAAAAAAGGGGATATTCTAATACCTACCTTGCCCATCTCAAACAGTTATTTTTTACATGAGAAAGTGTTTACATATAATGCTGAAACATAAGCTAGAAACTGTAAATGTTTACTCGTTATTGTAAGTCACTATACTGTCGACCTTGGCAAATTCCAAAAGTCATTTTGACTGTGGGTTTCCTCATCTGTACCTGCAAGAAAAGATTACATATCCAGCAGCGGTTAAAATAGGGATTAAATAAGATAGATAATATAAAGTGGACACTGTTGTGTTTTTTCCAAGCCTGGGAAAGGACTCTCCTTCCTGAATAAGAAAGTAGTACTTGCTAAAGGAAAGCCTCCCATCCTTCACCCTCTCCTCCTCTTTCTCCTGCCTAGAACATAAATGTGAGGCCTGGAGGTGCAGCAGCCATCTTGCAACCATGAGACAAGAGGCCTTAGAATGAAAATCTGCATTGAGGCACAGAGAAACAGAAAAATGCAAAAGCCTGGATTCCTATGCATCAATGATCATTACTCACATCCTGAGTGCCCATCCATGAACCGTTTTACTACAAAGGAGAAACGATTCTTTATTGTCATCGCAGCTCTAAAGTAGGCTTTCTGTTACTTGTCATCCAAACTGATATGCTGTCTTA